CTGCTGCTCTCGGTGAAAAGAACTGACCATAGAAAAAAACAAAGTCAGACAAGTTAGCTATACAACATGTTGAGATTACCACAAGTCATATGTACCTCCGCAAAGTCATCGGTGGTTGTCTGTAGTAGCTGAGTCTGCAGCACCTCCAGAAATCCCGCATGACCAGCTGGACCTTCTCTTCTCCGTTTGAGCGCCTTCTAAAAGATAATAAAAGCATTGACCAAGGCCATATCGACCACCCCCAGGAAAATGGTCTTGTAGTATTTGCGTAAGTGCACGAGCTACAGCGAATAGCGCTGGAGGCGCAATTGATCATGAATTGCAACCCCACCCATCCAGCGATGGTAGTCACGCATCGCGGTTGTGAGCTTTTGAAAGAAGCAATCTTTTCGGTGATCGAAAGAAAAATTCTCGCTTAAATCGTATTACCTTCTTAAACAGAATTACAAATTCTAGGGGTGTTGAATTTTAGCTGTGATAACATATTAATACATAAAATGTTATCACAGCTAAACTCCAACACCTCTAGAATTTGTATATATATAAAATGTACATAATACAAAATATGCTATCACAGCTAGACTTCAACACCTCTAGAATTTGTAATTCTGTTTAATTTGATTTGAGCGAGAATATCTTTTTCGATCACCGTAGAAATTGTTTCTGCTTTTGAATTTTACAATTCACGACTTTAGATATGTTTTATTCTTTAAAATCATACTTTTATTTGAATAAAACATATCTAAAGTCGTGAAATGTTTTATTCATTTAAAATCATATTTTTATATGAATAAAACATATCTAAAGTCGTTTATAGATACTGTAAAATTCAAAAGCACCACCAGCCCAATTCTCAAGTTAACAAATGCTTGTTTTATAGAGGTTCGATCTCTTATTGCAGCCATTGAAAGAGAAACTATGCGCAACGACGTCAGCGCCTATAACGAAAAAGAGCTTTGGGCTCCTGCGAAGGTGTTGTCACCTAATTATTAGCGTTAGCTTATGGCTAACAGGATGAATCTGTAGTTAGTTTGTGCCAAAGTTAGTGCAAGCAGTGGAAGGAGATATTCTGTCCAAAACGAGTCCAACAATGTCCAAATTGTCCAATTGATAAATGACGGATTTAATAATCTAAAAGATTGTTTTGTATATTTTTCCAGGACTGTCCAAACTGTCCAAAAGCTATCCAAACTGTCCAAAAGCTATCCAAACTGTCCAAAAGCTATCCAAACTGTCCAAAAGCTGTTCAAACTGTTTACATGAAGTTCATGTAGTCGTCGGGGACTTGAGTGACGACAGCTTCAGCGTGGCGAGGCGCTGTTTGAATTCCCAGCTTGATGTCATGGATGCGGCTCACGTAACCTAGTGCCTCGGCTTTAGCTGTCTCCATATACGCCAGTAAGCTTGGATGAGCTCCACGCCCAAATTTCTCACCGAAGTCGCGGTTGTACTTTTCGAGCGGGTTATTGGTCCTGTTTGTGATGTCAACCCCACCAACCATCATGCTATTGACGTTCCACAAGCTGGAATCAAACCGCCCCATCCACGTCTTGCGAAAATATCGTCAGAACCGATCCCACTTGCCCTTGGAGCCCTCTTCGTTAATCAGACTTCGCACATACCGGAGTCCCTGGTTAAAAAAAAATTTACACCGTCATACAAGATCATAACGTCAGAATTGAAGTGTCAAAAAAGTCATGACAAAAAAGGTAAAATTTTAAACGATAAGAAAATAAAAATATGCGCACCTTGTCCTCGATTTCATCTGCAGGAATGATGGTCAAAATGTCGAGTTTGCCGGGGTCATTGCATCTTTCACCTGATCCCTTGAAGGGACCTGAAGGGGGCATGTGACGGTGCAGTGCTTGTTTCCAATGAAACAAACACCCCACAATATGCACTTTCGGGAACTGGTTGACTACAGCGTTGATCAGCGCGAGCTCAAAGTCGCACGTCACGCTGGCGGGTTCTAGTCGGCGGTCCGTCGCAATGAAAATCATCGTCAATGCGTCCAGGTAGGTGTCGCTGTCTCGTCCTTGAAGGAGTACGTACATCGCCGGAACGTACAAGTTAACCGTAGCGTCCAACAGCATTACAATAAGGCATTGTACGAACGGTTTCGGCACCATTTTAAAGGTACCGTCGATGAAGACCGGAATAGCTGGGTTTCGTAGCAAGAGGACTAGATCTGGGTGCCCAAATCCTACGATACGGCGCTCCTTATTCTTGACAGAGAACCCAGTGTTAAACCTCACAAAGGAGCGTTTGTCCGAGTCGCTGAGCCAGCGCGCCTCGGTCTTGTCGAGCGAGTGTAGCATATCGCAACCCATACCCTTGCGGGTATTTTTGACAATGTTGACACCTTGCAGCTTTGGGATGGCGTTCAGCGTGCTTCCTTTGTGTAAGTTGTTCAATGCTGAGCGGACACGCTCCCACACCATTGATGGAGCTTCAGACGCTGATTCTAGGGCCGCTCGCTGGAGCTGCTGACGCATTTCACACCGCACATCCACGACTTGTTTCGGCAGTAAATTCTCGCAGCTGTGCTCACCGCGAGCGCGTACGTGTTCTCTTTTTGATATCAGCTTTGCAAGGCAGCCTTGTCGGAAATGACGGCAGTTGTAGTAGATGGTGCCAGTGACTTTGTTCATTGTCCTAATCACGTACTCCTTCCCTTCGTGCAGCATTTGGGAAATGCCTGAATGAATGCCCTAGCTCGAGAACGCACTACACGCCAACCGTTACAGCCTTACTTTTACAAGCAAAAATGTAATATTTAGATCCGTAATTAATAAAATAACGCATCTGTTTTGGACAGATTTTGGATAAATATGGTAATTTATCACCAAAACAGCAATTTTTTTTTGGATAATTTGGACAAAGTTGGACTCGTTTTGGACAGAATAGCCAATTTACACGTACCCATAATCGAGAAATCGCCCGTCGGGTACGTAAAAGACACAAGCAAACTTATCCGATTGGATTCTTAGTGCTTTGGTTTGCGATGAAAGCTTCGATCTCAATCGCTCCCAACCTCAAAACCCGAAGAATAAGTAGAAGTTAATTTGGCACCAAGTTTGAATAAGAAGCATGAGCGTAGTTCTATTCACAGTTTCACTCGGATAGCAGGTGCCCCAATCCTGTTAATTTGTTGAGCCTGCAACTGAAGAGCTAAATCTAGAAGTCGAAGCTACATGTAGTTAGAGAGCCGAGGTGCTCGCCTCGGGTTCAGTAAGGGAATTCTTGCGATACCGTTGGTGTGATATACAACAGTAGGTGCATGAATAATTTTTTTTAAGCATTAGCGGCTGCGTATTTGTAAGATCTGTAGTGTGATTTTACACATTTGTAGTTTTGAAAGCTTATCTAAATTCTGCAGTTTAGAAGACATCTGACACTCGTAATTAGAAGAGACGTCACACAAAGATACTTCTGAGAAGTTATCCGCATTACTTGTACAGTGAAATCCTGATCTTGAAATACTGACAGATGGAGGAATATTAGCCTTCATACATGTATGTGTAAAAAGATGAAACGAATGTCCTGCAATTTACACTGATTTTGCCATTCCAGGGCCTATATTTAACCTTTAGCTCCTATAATAGTGGCTCCCCACGTACGAGGTGGCTCAGAAAATGGGTGCGAACGCAAAATAGGGACTATTGCTGCTCCAAAATAGCCCTTCTTAGCTGGGTACGAGTTTGGGACAAAGTCTGAGACTAATGAACATTTTAAATAATACTACAAGTAGTATTAAACGAACTGAACGAGTACTGTACCGGTGCATGTACCGGTACAGCAGAAACTGAAATGCACATACAGATTATACCCTTGCAAACGCGGTCAAACTACTTTCAGCTTTTTCATCCAAAACTAACGTGGTACTAAGGATTTGCAAGAATCCATAGCCTATGCTTACCTGATATCCTTTCGGAACTAAGGTCCACATTCTGGGCGGAGCTGTAGTTCACTTCTCAACGTGGGCAATGAGCTTACGGTACCGGTACACTACCTGCTGCGAAGGTGAGCAGTAAGAACGGATCAGCTGCCTACATACTGTATCAAAGAAGTCGCTAGATACATGAACTGTATTAATAATACTTCGAAGAACAGCCATTTTATCTGTTGAAGGGGAAACGATGATCACAGAACCCCCAAACTTATTCACAGTCTGTGAATAAGTATCTGTGAATCACTTATTGGACTCCATAATATGGAGTCCAAGCTGTCCAATTGCAAATCCCATATTATGGGTTTTGCAATTGGACAACCGACCTGATACTGTATTACACGTGTTAATAATAAGTGAACAGTGTTCACAATAAAGATAACAAAACAGTGTACACGAACACGTACTACTGCATGCTCCGCATGGCTTCATTCAATATCTACGCCCCCTCCTCCGAGTGCGGCATCGTCTCACACAGGTGCATGGCGAACCGCAAGAATACACTGCTACTGCTCCTGAAACGTACGCACAACTTCACTTTAAGCAGGAAATGGCTGCGTTTGAAATCAATGCTGAAGAGGACTGTCTATACTTCGTTCAAATCCCTTCAAATAGAATGCGCCTGTGCCAACAATTGTTTACGGAGCACATTGCTGGAGGAATTTCCAAATTCAGTAAAAAAAAATACTGGGTTGTACCTGAAGCTGATCCACATTTCCAATATATAGTAGAAATGTTTGACCATGTGGAGCCGCTATGTCAGGTGAGAAACCGATAATTTTCGAGTGTGCATTAAGTTTTGGCGTGCACTGAAAAATGCAAAGCAAAACTGGGACAGAACCGGTAGCGTTGGCATTTGTGAGGAATGATGGGTTTGTCTGTCTCTTTTGCATCCCGAGATGTACATGCACCGGCACTGCACAAGATTACGGCTTTTGGCAGTCGGTGTTATTTAACAATAGTACCGGAGCTGCGCATTTTCTTTCAGCTTGTGTTTCTCTCCCAGAGCCTCACTTAACTTTTTCTTTGTGACACGTAAGGCAAAAGCGGAATGCTTCGTCAAGCTCGTCCGTTGGTGGTGTTGATCGCTGTGACTTTCTTGGTTGCCAGTGAAGTATTCTCCATGGCTCTAGCCTCCGACCAGAATTCGAACGTTGCATCGATCACGAGCCAAGTCCAGCGGCTTCTGCGGACTCATCACGCTACCATAAAAGTCAACGCTGACTCTGAAGAAAGATTCCTGACAGAACCCCCGCTGACGACGGATGAAATGATGGCGATGATGAAGGCAGGGAAGTCTAAAAATGCGTACGCTTTCGAGCTGGGTATTGCTGGACAAATGGCCGATTTCATCAACAGCGGGCTACCAGATATAGAAACGTTCAAGAAGACTCCGGAGTTCCAGAAGTACGAATTCTACATGAACTTCTTGAACGATATGCGGAAGGACGACGATTATAAGCCGTTGGTGGAGATGATCAAGAAGAACAAGGGCGAGACAGAAGCTTTTAAGACTTTGTTGGTGAAGGTCGAGGATAGTGTAAGCAAGAAGAAGGCTTCTCCGTCGGCCATTGTCAAGCTTGATCCTTTAAATAGGGAGCAGGCTATCGTGGAGAAGATCGAGCTTGCTCTTAAAAAGAATCAGGCTTTAAATAAGAATAAGGCTTCGTTGGAGACGATCGAGCACACTGTACGTATGGCAGCCAAGTCCAAACCAAGCACGTGGAAAATCTTTAAAATTATCTCGAGGCTTAAAAAATTAAAGCTAAAACGTTAAACAAGATACAGGCGTGTCTGTTACGTTACTGGATCGTCTGCGACTTACGCTGAGAATACCGTGTTTATTTTTCTTACCACGTGTACATATACTGTTGTGCTAAGCTTGTGCCCACGTATGATCGCAATTGTTCTAGCGGTGAAGGATTGTCATCATAAATACTACAGTATTACGTAGCTTAAATTACCGGACTTTTAACGCAGTCTCAAACGATTTTCTTTTCACGAGAAAGCTCAAACAGCGGCTTGCATCAAGCCGACTGCAAAGGACAAAGTCGCGTTCTTATAGTGGCCGCCGCTGACAATTTAAACTATTAATATAGATCACAACGTCCAGCAATACGGCTCTGCCCGAGGACATCCCACGAGAAAATGACCCTCCTTTTAAATGAAAGCGTAGGACATACAGTAACCAACTCACCAACGACCATTTTTACGTGAGAAATGCACGTGCAGTATGTTGGCTGAATGTTGCTTGATAGTGAAAATACACACGTACCGAGCCCCAAATTTCGAGCTCAACACCTGCAGGCTAGCATTCCTATTGCATAGTAACCTCGTTTGTTTCCATAAAACCAATCCATGAGCAAGACAGGAGGAATACACCGAACGCTCTGCAACAGCTTCAAATGTGAGCCAGCGAGATCACGAAGCGATCGAAGTGATCGATGGCCAAGTAGTAATGCGATCCCAACTGAAGCAAAGCCACACAGTGCTAAAGCACTACCATTTACTGCCACTCACAAGAAACACATACGTTGGAGGGATCCGACCACCTGAAGTCAGGCAGCAAAATGAATCCATCTCACGGATTCGCATCTCATAATATTAACCCCCCAAACCCGAGAGCCTGTATGAGACACGATTCCGCGAAAAGCTTAACGTGTCTG